GACTTATCTGTTTTACTTGCAGTGATGTATCATTCAATCTTATCTCCGGAGTTATTCCCACTGAACTTGGCCAATTGCAGAATTTGAACTCTTTGTAAGTTAATTATATGATCTTATCATTTGCATTATATACAAAATAGAAGTATGGATCTTTATGTTCATGTGCAGAATATTGAACTACAACAAGCTTCATGGGAAAATTCCAGATCAGCTTACGAATTGTTTCGCTCTTGTCAATCTGTACGTTCTTTTGCAAGAGACATTTACTTATGATCAAATATTAGCCCTTTGGAAGATTTGTGAATCCAACATTTTCTTCTTCTTTCCATTAAACGTTTTAGGAATGTCTCCTTCAACAATCTCTCAGGGATAATCCCACCAATGAAAAACTTCTCACGTTTTGCTCCAGCCAGGTATGAAGCTACTCGCAGACAGTAGTCTGTCATTATGATCAATACGCATATTCTTTCGATGTAAAACTGAGATCATTACCATTGTATAGCTTTGTTGGAAATCCATACCTTTGTGGAAACTGGGTTGGATCTATTTGCGGTCCTTTGCCGAAATCCCGGGGTATCTACTAGATTTATCTTTTAATCATTTTTTCTTCAATAGATGCTTTTGTTGTTTATTTGGGCTTACTCATCTTTCTTTTCTTGCTCTATTCAGTATTCTCCAAAGGTGCTGTGATCTGCATTGTTCTTGGTGTCATCACTCTCCTATGTATGATTTTCCTCGCAGTTTACAAATCGAAGCAGCAGAAGAAGATTCTAGAAGGCCCCTCAAAACAAGCCGATGGTAATGATGATGGCTTCATAGTTCTTCTTAACCCATCTTCTGTTCGTAGATGCTAATATCATTCTGTTCCCATTCTCAGGCTCAACCAAGCTAGTGATTCTCCACATGGACATGGCAATTCATACATTTGATGATATAATGAGAGTAACCGAGAATCTTAGTGAAAAGTTTATAATTGGATACGGTGCTTCTAGCACGGTATACAAATGTGCATTGAAAAGTTCCCGACCTATTGCCATTAAGCGACTCTACAATCAGTATCCGCATAACTTGCGGGAATTTGAGACAGAACTCGAGACCATAGGGAGCATCAGGCACAGGAACATAGTCAGCTTGCATGCATATGCCTTGTCTCCTGTTGGCAACCTTCTTTTCTATGACTACATGGAAAATGGATCACTTTGGGACCTTCTTCATGGTAAAGTTTTTAAAACTTTTTTTGGTTCAATTTGTGAAAGAATGATTTGCAGATAAAGTAATAAAATGTTTTGATTGTTTTGGTTACTTTTAGGTTCACTGAAGAAAGTGAAGCTTGATTGGGAGACGAGGTTGAAGATAGCGGTTGGAGCTGCGCAAGGACTCGCCTATCTTCACCACGATTGTACTCCTCGGATTATTCACCGAGACATCAAGTCATCGAACATACTTCTTGATGAGAATTTCGAAGCACATTTATCGGATTTTGGGATTGCTAAGAGCATACCAGCGAGCAAAACTCATGCTTCGACTTATGTTTTGGGAACAATTGGTTATATAGACCCAGAGTATGCTCGTACTTCGCGTCTCAATGAGAAATCTGATATCTACAGCTTCGGGATTGTTCTTCTTGAGCTTCTTACTGGAAAGAAAGCAGTAGATAACGAAGCTAACTTGCATCAACTGGTATATGAATCAAAAATCACCTAGAAGATAGATAATGATGTTTGAACCTTTAAAGAGTTAACTTTGTTTTTCTTTTGTTGCAGATATTGTCAAAGGCTGATGATAATACTGTGATGGAAGCAGTTGATCCAGAGGTTACGGTGACATGTATGGACTTGGGACATATCAGAAAGACATTTCAGCTGGCTCTCTTATGCACAAAGCGAAACCCTTTAGAGAGACCCACAATGCTTGAAGTCTCTAGGGTTCTGCTCTCCCTTCTTCCATCTCTACAAGTAGCAAAGAAGCTGCCTTCTCATGATCAATCAACCAAAAAGCCGCAGCAAGAGAATGAAGTTAGGAATCATGATGCAGAAGCATCGCAATGGTTTGTTCAGTTTCGTGAAGTCATCTCGAAAAGTAGCATATAAGATTTCAGCTTTAAGAAGATTCCCGGGCTTTTTGTTTAGTTTCTTGTTTCCCAAGGAAAATAGTGTTGCTGATTGGAAGGGAAGGATGTTTTTTTTAATAGTGAAATTATAGTAGAAGGGGTATTTTGGGTAAGGAAAAAGAAGGTATGGGAAGCATTTAAGACAAGAACAAAGGTTATATGAAAGAAAAGGATATATGAAGTTAATGTTTGTTTTCTCCCAAGAACATGTTCACGAGTTTGTAAAGTCTTTGGTCTTATGTTTTAAAGGCTCATGTCATTGTCCAACAACGAAAAATTTATTAAAAAATCTCATTCTCTATCCATATATCTAAACAAGTATACATGTTTACTTATATATAGACATAGGAATGCGTGTGTTACATGTATAAAACATGAAAGAACATCTTCAGGGTGAAGATTAAGCAGTGATTAGGTTCCTTGCAACTTCCTGTGAGTCGAACTTCCGGCATAAATCCAGGCTCCTGTTCAAATTATATAATCAATGGTGTCTGATATCTATTATGGCCTGTTCTTTTTGAACTATGGGAGCTTTGAATAGATTGTAGTAAGGATTGCTTTTTAGTTACCTGTTAATATCTGTCCTGCAAGAGCTCTGATTTCCATATTCGATGCGGATTGCTTCACCGAGTTTTCCTTTGCTTGATCTCTGTCAAGAAAAGGAAGATGTAAAAAAGGACATTTCCATGGATTTTTAGTACAAAAAACTGTATTACCTTTGGGTCTAGAGGGGAAGTTTTAGATTCATACACTTGGCAATTTATCTTTCTGCTGTGATTTTCTTTGACTATCCTAGTTTTTGAGGAATCAATGGGCATTAGTCTGCAAAAAATGTGGTGTGTGAGAACGTTTTAGGAAAATATGATTCAAATGAAGTTTCAAAGCAATTGCACTAACGTTCTGGAGTTAGTAGCATCATTTTCTTGTATGACATCGGTTTTAGCCTGCAATGTGAGACATATCATTTAACTAAATGTAATCATGGAGGCGAAGAATCGAAAAAGAGAACAATGAGATTTGAGACTTGCATTTGAAGAGCGTTCCTTTGCTCTCAGTGATGTTCTTAGACGAAATGCCTGATGCAGAAATTCTGTTAACGGATGAGGAACGATATTAACACTTTTGAGTAGTAGCTGTTGGAAGATACATTATACCTGAAGATCTTTGGACCGTGGTGTATTACTTTTGGGCAAAGATGTTGAAGAAGGTTCCAGAGCAATCTGCAGGGAGTCCAAAACATAAGCTTCAGAATGTGGTAATGAAGAAACTTAGAGTGAAAACAAAAAAGATAATAAGTACATTTTTGTTCCTAATGTGTCTTTTAGAACTTGATGTCGCAATCTGCTCGGTCTCTGAGTTAACCTTAGACCTGAAACTCTCAAGAGAAAACATGTTATAAGAAAGCCATCAAACAAACATTTTTAACACAGAGAGTCATTTACCTGTGCCTTTCAGATCTTTCTGCAGTTCTAAGATTCGGTTCCTTTGGAACAGTGAGTTTGGTTCTTCTGCTAACAGGAGCCACCTTAAAGAAAAATACAAAGGCTCAGTGAACCTAGCAGTAAAAGATATCTAGAATTAGCAAATAAAAAATCCATAAGAGAACACACCTTAGCTTCCATTTTTTGCCTATTGGTGTCTTGGTTTTGTAATTTAGAGACTAAGATCGGTGATACGTTTTCACCAAACTTGGCTAAAGACCTCTGACATCTGAAACATGAAAACCACTTATTGAAGCCAGCGAGAATGAAAACGAAAAAGCAAATTCACATAGTAAATGGTTTGTGCATCAGTTTACCTTGTCAGAAGTTGAACAGAGTAAATGTCTAACGGTTTGTTCTGCCTTGCAAGCAAAGAAGCCGTAGGTCTTGTCAAAGTAGAGTTACTTGGTTTGGTTTTAGATTTCGATTTTGTATTGGACACATCTTTAACGGTTTGGTTGTAATATATGAACCCTGACAACAACAACAACAAATAAAACTAAGCTCTCAAAACTGCATTGAAGCATCATTATCTTTGCCTAACCAGTAAAAAATGATATGCAGAAACCAAGATTTCAGAATCATTACCGTTGAATTTATCTTTGCCATTCAGACCGGTATCGGTATCCAAGGAGGATTCGATGATCTCCACAGGCTTAGAGTCTGATATGGTATTTGTAATTTGCTTAAACGGCTCAAATTTCCAATTGAATTTTGGGCTAAAAGCTGAGATAATTAGCACAAAGCCATATAAATATTCAACAGAAAATCTATAGTAAACAGAATCGTTGAAATTGAGTGTGTTCTTATCTTACGTGAAGGAGGATAGTTTCCAGAGGATTGAAACCAGGTTTCGATTTCTTCAGTCTCGGAATCAAGCTCTGGTCTAGAGAAATCATAAAACCTCGGTGCATCGAATTCGAAATCAATATCGAATTCGAAATCATCTCCAGAAAAACTTATTGATGATGATGATTCCGGAACCATAATCGATCCTCGATAATTCCGATCTTAGACGACGGAATCGAGTAGGAGCGTTTCGCATCAATCGAATCGTGAATGTCCCCTCTCCTTCTCTCCCTCCTCCTCCTCGAATGGGAGAATCTCTGGAAACTTTCTCCAGAAAATTAGAGCGAAGGAGAGAGAGAGAGAAAAATGGCGATGAGAAGAGAGCTCTAATTTTTCCTGTGGAGAAGAAGAGAAGAGAGAGAGAGAGAAGGTAACGGCCCTAAAATTCAGTTGGCGCGGGATGTATAACAACAATAACAGCTCATATTGTTTAGTATTCTCAATTTGCTTCTTTACTTTTCGAAAATCACAAAATAAACCTCCGTTTTATTTTCAGACCACAACACCAAATTTCTTCATCCATTTGTGTTTGTTTATTTGTTTACGATAAATTTGGCCTGTATATCTTCCTATTGTTAAACGTAAAAAGGACAACGAAAATCTATGTATCATGAAGCAAAAAAAAGCTAAAATCTAAAAAGTTATTTTTAGGGGAGAAAAGAGAGATTACAAAAGATTAGGGGGAAGAAAACAAATATAGGAAAGAAGCGTTCTTGACTTCTTTCTCTGCCTGTAATTTTTTTTTTTTTTTTTTTACTTTAACGACTTACCTGTAATTTCTTTCTTGACTAGATAATTTTTTTTTGTTTCCTAAATTCTATCCGAATTTTTTTTCAAGGAAAAACCAACGGCTGTGTCCTTCAATCCAGGTAAAGAGTCTCGTCCTTTTTCCAGGAAAATTCAGAAGAAATTAAAGTTTCAGCAATTAAAATGATTATCATTTAAAAAAAAAAAACAGAGTTCATGTGTTTTCTAAAAATTGAAACTTTCAGAATTTGCTGTCGTTTGAGAAAATGAAAAGAAATAACCTATTGAGGAGAAGAAAAAGACCATTTTTATAGGCTTGAATAAGATAACGAATGTGGAGGAATTTTGAATGTATTTGCAGAGTTTGGAGATAAATAATGTCCAACTCTCAAATCGAATCAACTTGTGCATCTCTTCTACAACAACTTGAGGTTTGTGATGATTGCTTCAACTCCAAGAAAATGCTCTTTGTTTCATACAAAACTATTTTTGTTTTGATGTGGATTCTGTTTCTGATGCAGATTATATGGAACGAGGTTGGAGAAACTGAAACAGAAAGGGAGAAGGTTTTGATTGAAATCGAAGAAGAATGCAGAGAAGTCTACAATCGAAAAATCGAAAAGTTTAAAGAAGAGAGGATTCGGATAAAACAAGAGATTGCTGATTCAGAAGCAAGAGTTATTGATATATGTTCTGTAATGGACGAGCCACCAATTCTTGGAAGACAACATCAATCTGATCAACAAAATGGGAGAAGCTTGAAAGATGAGTTAGTAAAGATTCTTCAGAAACTTGAGGAAATGGAAAAAAGAAAATCAGAGAGGAAGAAACAGTTTATTCAAGTAATTGAAGATATAAGATGTGTAAGAGATGAGATTAATGGAGAATCTTATCAGAGTACTTGTTCATCTGATTTTTCGGTTGATGAATCCGATTTATCTCTTAGAAAGCTTGAAGAGTTACATAGAGAGCTTTACACACTTCAAGAACAGAAGGTTTTTTCCAAACTTTACCAATTATCTTATAAAATATGATTTCATTTCTTGATCAAAAGGTTAACTAATGTACTCTATTGTTTATTTTGGCTCAGAGAAACCGGGTGAAACAGATTCAAGATCATCTAAAAACTCTCGAATCGCTTTGTTCGGTTCTCGGTTTGAATTTTCGAGAAACTGTCACCACGATTCACCCAAGTTTAGTAGAATCTGAAGGGTCAAGAAGTATAAGTAATGAAACACTTGACAAGTTAGCTTTATCAATAAAGAACTGGCATGAGATAAAGATACAGAGAATGCAAGAAGTGAGTTAAATTTTTACTATCTTTAAAGCTCTGCTATTTGTTTCTTATATCTAAGCTCTTTTATGGATTACAGCTCCAAGATCTCGTGACAACGATGCTTGAGTTTTGGAATTTAATGGATACACCAGCAGAAGAACAACAAAAGTTCATGGATGTTTCATGTAATATAGCGGCTACTGTTTCTGAAATAACCAAACCAAATAGTCTTTCTATAGATTTGCTAGAAGAGGTACCTTCACAACAACTTAACATCAAATCTTATGTAAGCTTTCTGAGACTTTTTTTGCTGATAGATTGCTTTAATGTTTAAAAGGTTAAAGCTGAGCTGTGTCGGTTGGAGGAGTTGAAGTGGAGCAAAATGAAAGAACTTGTTCTAAAGAAAAGGTCAGAGCTTGAAGAGATATGCAGAAGAACACACATAGTGCTTGAAGAAGAAGAAGATATTGCGGTTGAGAATGTAATCAAAGCCATTGAATCGGGAGATGTGAACCCTGAAAATATACTAGAACAGATCGAATATCGAGCTGGGAAAGTGAAAGAGGAAGCTCTAAGCAGAAAAGAGATTCTTGAAAAAGCTGAGAAATGGTTGAATGCTTGTGAGGAAGAGAACTGGCTTGAAGAGTATAATCAGGTTTGTCTTTTTTCTTGTTCATTAAATATTCAGTTCTTACATTTTGTGATGACTTATGATTTTTGTATAGGATGAAAACCGATACAACGCTGGAAAAGGATCTCATTTAATCCTCAAACGCGCAGAGAAAGCTCGTGCACTTGTTAATAAACTTCCAGGTTTCTTATAAATGACCCAACACATTGTTATTTTGGTGAATGCTTATCTTACTAAAAAACTTTTTCACTCTTTTTAGCTATGGTTGAAGCATTAGCTTCCAAGATTACAATATGGGAATCAGAGAAAGAATCTGAGTTTCTCTTTGATGGTGTATGATCTTGTCTTCTTCTCTCAAACAAAACCCCCTCTTCTTCTCTTTTCTCTTTTATATACTTCATTTGATCTTTTAATCTGATTTTCTTCATTCAGAATCGTTTACTTTCAATGCTCGAGGAGTATTCTGAACTCAGAGAAGAGAAAGAACAAGAACGCCGCAGAAAGAGGGTATTTTTAACCTGAAAATGATCTTTTAATAAATCAAATGTTATATTATTCCAAGAATCACCAAGAACAAGGCTTGTTGGATGTTGGTGTTTACAGGATCTGAAGAAACTTCAGGGTCAAGTGATATCAGAGCAAGACAAAGGAAATGTTACGAAGCCTCAAAGCGCGAAAAAGGGTCTTAAAGTGTCAACTAACAAGAGATTTGTCTCATCACCTCATACTCCTCGAGCTGATTCGCCTCAGTCAGCAAAATCGAATCAATATTTTACTCCTCTATCACGCCATAGCTGAAAAAGATTGAGCAACGATTTCAAAAACAGTCTTTTAAATAGATCAAACTGGTAATAGTTTCTATCTTACACACACAGATTCTGTACAAGTATAGTTCTTATACAATGGCGTTTATGTGAGTATGCAGCCATAGAGACAAGAGATCAGAGAGAAACAACATTCTCATAGAACCTGCTATTCAAAGAGAAGGTCTCAAAACTGATGATTGGATCCAAGTGTGTATTATACACTGATTTGTGTTGAGGAAAGATTAGTTTGACTTTGACCGACCAATGTACTTGCTGAAAAAAACCAATGACAATTTTTTCCTAACATCTTTTTAAAGTTTGTTCTCTTCATGATCTGTAAATACTTTTAGTTGATTTTGTAATTAACATCATCTAGAAACTTTGACGCATAGTTAATCTTATTACAATTATTATTATTACATGAGATATAAATCTAAATCTTAAGCTTATTTAGAAATTTAATTGGTCTTAGTATTGGTATTCAAAGCAATTATCTTTGGTCAACCTTACTTCAAAAGTGATTAACTGGAAAAAGACAAAGGAGATTGTCAGAAGTTTGGTATTCTTTATTTATTTTCCTTTTCTTTTTGAAATTTCACTTTATTTTTCTTCGTATTTCCGTTTTATTTAATTAGAAATATTAAATTTCCAAGACGGACGTGGATCTTTCCCTAAACCGAAATCAATACTTTGATTTTTGTAATTATTATATCGATTTTCAACTAATTAAATCCTTAATATTCGTATTAAATAATACAACTGTCTACATGATATTTTTATTATATATTATCATTTCTTTTCCTGAAATTTTCCATTTTATTTATTTAGAGGTTCCTTTTTTCTTTGCAAAAACCCTAAAATTCATTCGTCTAAGAGAGAAAATTTATCTTCTTTTTCTTGTGAAATTTTTAGGGATATTGCATGTAATTTTTGGGATTTTTAAGGTTTAATCTCCATTGAAAAAGCTCTGGCATTTCTCTGCTACAGTGTTGGGTTTCAGCTGCAGAATTGTTGAAGAAAAAGTAAATCTAAAACTCAAATCTCTCTGTCCTTGATCCTTTTGAGCTATTTCATATCTCTTTGTCTTTTTATTGTTCTTACTTAGTACAAGAAGAAAAATAAGAAACCTTTGCTTCTTATTCATCTGAAAAAGCTCAATTTTTTTTTTTTTTGTTTTTTTTTTTGTGTGTGTGGTAATCAGAGTTTGGTGAATTTCAGGAGCAGAGTTTTTTTTGCAATTTTGGGAAATTTGTGGGTAATAAGAAAATGGAGGAGAAGGGTGGAATAAGTCCAAGTGGGGTCGTCACAGTTAAGGAAGATGAAGCTTTGGTTCCAAGAACAGAGTTTCAACAAAACCCTAGCTTTCTCCAATTCGTGAGTCCCACGACGGTAGTGTCTCCTCTGCCTCTTCCACCAGCTCCGTCTCCGGCTCCGGTACCAGCCACCGTGACTCCTGACTCAGCCGCAGCATCGACCGGATCAGATCCGACGAAGAAGAAGAGAGGAAGACCGAGGAAGTACGCACCAGATGGAAGCCTGAACCCTAGGTTTTCGAGACCAACTCTGTCTCCAACTCCAATCTCATCTTCGATTCCATTGTCTGGAGATTATCAATGGAAACGAGGCAAAGCTCAGCAGCAGCATCAGCCTCTTGAATTCGTCAAGAAATCTCACAAATTTGAGTATGGAAGTCCAGGTAATTAAAAGTTGAAATCTTTGTGTTTGAACTGTTTGCATTGGTTTCAGTGAGACAAGATCTGATCTGGGTTTTGGGTTTTCTTGTTGAGTGATTTTATGTTGTGTGGATTTTGAGATGTTGGGAAGTGGGACCAACATAACTGGATTTTGCTGGGTACACTTTTGTCTGAAGAAGCTATTACAATCAGACCAGTTAGAGACAGAGAAAGGGAATCTGATGATGCTGACCAAACAAAAACAGAAATAAAAAGAAGATTTTTTCTTTTAAAAAAAAAACAAAGACAGGATAATCTTTGTCTCTTCCTTTTTATCTTAGAAGATAAGTGTGTTTAGTTGTGCTAAAAGTTGGTTAGCAGATCTTACGATTTCTCATTATCTGGTTAAATCTGTTATAATTACTGTGTAAATAAAAAGAGATTCAGATGTTCTTGCAAGTTAGTTGGTCTTTGTTTTGAATCATTGAGTAAGTTGCTTGAGGATTAGGATTAATTAATTAGCTGATTAGTCTAATGCAAATTCTGTTTTACTATCTCTTGCAGCTCCTACTCCTCCTCCTCCTGGGCTCTCATGTTACGTGGGTGCAAATTTTACAACCCATCAATTTACTGTCAATGCCGGTGAGGTAATAAATTGCCCACAGAGACAGAGGATTCTTTTGTTTTCTTTCTTCAACGCCGTAACTGAAGCTTTGATATTGGATTTTGTTTGTCTTTGATTGAGAATTGCTTTTTATTTTTGGATCAGGATGTAACAATGAAGGTTATGCCGTATTCGCAACAAGGATCTCGAGCTATCTGCATTCTTTCTGCAACTGGTTCGATCTCTAATGTCACTCTTGGTCAGCCTACCAATGCAGGTGGCACTCTTACATATGAGGTAACAAAACATTGAATCAAATTTAGTTAATACCTCGCTTCGAAATATTTCGCGAGTAAAACTGTTTTGTCTTTTTGTTTTCTAAGGGTCGATTTGAGATACTATCGCTATCTGGTTCCTTTATGCCTACTGAGAATGGAGGAACAAAAGGTCGGACTGGTGGGATGAGCATTTCTTTAGCTGGACCAAATGGCAAAATCTTCGGTGGTGGCCTTGCCGGTATGCTTATAGCAGCCGGTCCTGTTCAGGTGACACAATTTGATTTCATAATGAAACATATTTACAGATTCAGAGTATAGAAAACTCGGATTTTCGCAGAAATTTCCTTAAGTCTTATAATTTGTGACAGGTGGTAATGGGAAGTTTCATTGTGATGCATCAAGCAGAACAAAATCAGAAGAAGAAACCGCGAGTTATGGAAGCTTTTGCTCCACCACCGCAACAACCACCACAACTGCAACAACAACAACCTCCTACTTTCACCATAACCACTGTGAATTCAACTTCTCCAGCGACCGTAGAGGAGCCGAAACAACAACCCTACGGTGGTGGTATAGTGAGACCGATGGCTCAAATGTCTTCTTCTTTCCAAAACGAGAATTCAACTATGAACAATTTCACACCGCCCTATCACGGATACGGGAATATGAACACGGGCACTAACAAAGACGAACATGAAGACGACGATGGTGGTGAAGATGATGATTCGGGCGATACTAGGAGCCAATCTCTTAGTGGTTGAGCAATTCTCGGATTAAAGTCAGAAAGTTTTCTTGTGTAGAAAGGAAGGGAGCTTAAAGGATTCAGCTTTTCTTTGGTTTTTTAGAGGTTTGTCTTAGTTGTGTGAGGGTTTTCTTCTTTTGAGTGTTTTTTCTAATTTCTAGCAGTTTTTTTCTTTCTCTGTGATCGGTTTAGATTTAATTATGTCGAATTCATAGACTAAACGATGTTCTTATTGTTGAGGTCATTGGGATTAAAATTTAGTAAGACTATTGTTATATGCTTCACATTCGTGCAAAGTTACCCCATTCATAAGATTCGTTACAAACAAAAGTTTATGAATTTTTTGATACAAAATCTTACCTGATTCTTTATTTGTTACAAAAGTCCATTTCTTTCGAATTGCTATAATTCTCTACGTTATTAAATCATTCATAAGTTTAACATTTGCTTCAGCAAAACACCAAGTTTCAGTGGATTCAGGGTTTAAATTGTAACAAATAAAAAGTCAATAAACAAAGGAAGTGGAGCATAAACATAACGAAAACTACTATTAGGTGACATTTATAACAAATAAGGAAATAAAGGGGGCTAAATAATAAATAAAAACTCTTGGCTAATTCTCAAAACCCTTCCCTTTCCTTTATCGCAGTCGCTACTGGCCTCCGTTGGTCTTCATCGTGACTCTCTTCACGCCATTTATTCCGATTAATCGGAGACTTTCGACTTCTCATCTTCGTAGGATACTAACAATCGCTCTATCGTATCCATCAGGTGATAAAAATTCGAACTTTTTGTCTGCGTTTTTAGTTGCTTATTGGGTAGTTACTAGATCTTCTCTTTATTTACAGAATCAGTAGCAATGTATAACCTTAGTAGGATCATTTCTCGTCTCTCCTCGGTTTCGCTTAACCCTAGCACGAGAGCGTCTGGGTTTCTGACTGAGAACGCTTCCGCTTCATCGAAATTCTTACTATCTGCTACGAATCGAGCATTTTCTGCAAAATCAGGATCTGATGGAGTTGGAGGCGATGATAATGGTTGGGATATTGCAACAGGAGGATCATTTGGTGGTACAGGATCTGATGATCTTGATTGGGATAATAAATCTATGTGGTCGACTGGTTTAACTAAGGAGCATTTTGATGGTGTCTCCGTCGGTCGTCAGAAGAACGCGGCGAATCCTTCTTCTGATAACACCGCTTCTGATTCGGGTGATGTGATGAGCAAGTTGGGTCCAAAGGAAGTTGCTTTGGTTAATGAAATGAACGAGTATGATGATATGCTTAAAGAGATTGAGCAAGATAATAGGCAAGGCAGGGCTTTTGTTGATGGCATTAAACAGAGAATGATGGAGATCAGTGTGTTGTTGAAGCAAGTGAAAGAGCCTGGAGCTAGAGGGTCTTATCTTAAGGACTCTGAGAAGACTGAGATGTATAGATTGCACAAAGAGAACCCTGAGGTGTATACGGTTGAGAGGCTTGCTAAGGATTATAGGATTATGAGGCAGCGTGTTCACGCCATTCTTTTTCTTAAAGAAGATGAAGAAGAAGAGGAGAGGAAGCTTGGTCGTCCCTTGGATGATTCTGTTGAGCGTTTGCTTGATGAGTACCCTGAGTAAGTTACTTTACATTGGAAACTATTATTTCTGTTCATACCTTGGTATAATGCTACTTCAGTTTTACATGAATTGAGATGGAGTAACTGTGTGTGCTCACTTTTATTTAGTCTTCTCTATGGCCAAAATAGTTTTTTTAAGTTTTGCCATTTTTTCCATATCTTAAGATTATTAAGGTAGTTAGTGTTGCCAGTAGCATTGTTAGTGAGCGATCATGATACAAACTTGGATAGGTTGCGGAATATGTGGCTTCGTCTTCCTTAAACCCTTATCTAGTATTAATATATCATGCAGGTTCTTCATTTCGCATGACCGGGAATTTCATGTGGCCTCACTTAATTACAAACCCGACTTCAAGGTCATGCCAGAAGGATGGGATGGTACAATCAAAGATATGGATGAAGTCCATTATGAGATCTCAAAGAAAGAGGATGACATGCTTTATGAAGAATTTGTCCGAAAGTTTGAGTTCAACAAAATGAAAGTAAGGCCCTTCTTTTGCCCACTTGGGTATGCATTGACTTAGTAAACCAATACTACATTTTGTCTATTGTGACATTTTCACATCCATATGTTAATTATCAAGTGACCTGCTTGCAACTTTAGAATGAAAACTTGAGACTAGATGCAAGTTTGGCACCCTCTACTCTAAATTTGGTAGTTTGTAAGATCAACCTTGGAAGGCATAGCTAAAATTTCTCGGGGAACTGCCTTAGAAAGATTGAAAGTAATAATGGTATTGCTACTTGCCTGGGTTTGTTTACAAGGTTATTTGTTTGATAGATCCACGCCATTTGATTGATATATAACATCAGCTTTCCTGCTTGAGTTCTTGCTGAGTTGTTAGACGTTCTTTGGTCATTTCTCCTCGGTGATAACAAACGTTTCTTTACCTTTTGCTCTCTAAACCAGTGGAGGGGAGAAGTGAAGTGCCACAAGTACAGTAGGAGGCGTTCATCAGATGGATGGAAAATCACGGTTGAGAAATTGGGTGCTAAGGGCAAACGTGGAGCCGGAGGTGGCTGGAAGTTTATGAGTCTTCCAGATGGATCAAGCCGACCACTCAACGATGTGGAGAAGATCTATGTTAAGCGTGAAACCCCGCTTCGTCGCCGTAAGATCCTTCCCTGATTTCATAAGAACCAGACTCCATCAATGGTTATATCAGGATGGGAGTGTTCTTGTTTGATTCTATTTTGCTTTTGTTTGATGTTAAGTTGAATAGTATAAGATGGGTAGCGTTTGTTTTTCGTTTAGCTCTCTCTAACTTTATCAGTGAGGTTCAAATAATCTTAAGACCCATTATTGTTTGAATAGAATCATGGTCTTGTATTATAAGAATTCTCTATTATGTTTAAGGTTCCTTAATCATTTGAGAAGAAGTCAAACATGATTTAGAGAAGCTTTATATATTTGTTGTGGTACGTTTAGCAAAGCTAAAATAAAATTATGGTTGTCTTTGTCTAGGAAGCATGGTATCGACGGAGATGATGCGTTACTCGCCCGGGAACCAGAAGCGGAGGTCGAAGCGGAAACAGAAGCGGAAGGAGAGGCGCGTTGAATGTCTGAAAGCTGGCAAGCAAACGTGATTACCAAAATGAGGTGTTTGGAAGCTTGGAAACGTTGGTGGTGTGGATCGGAAGCGTCGACGGTGGCTATATCACATTAACGGGCTTACAATTTTATAATTTGGGTTGATAACTTGTTTTGTGACCCAACTTACCTTTGCACCATTAGCATTTAATGTTTGGTATTTTAGGTAATTTCATATTTATTAATATATTCAAAGAAACATATAAAATAAAAAGATAAATCAGCACCCATGACATTTAAAAAAAAAAAAAAACACACTAATAAAAGATGATGTCTCCTGGAATGGTCGAAGCAGAATCTGTAGCCACTCACTGTTCTTTATCGCTGTCTCCTCCTCAAGACCTCAACATTATCCCAATCCCACGTTCTCTTTATTTTTTAGTATGGATTTTATTTTTCATCAACCATGAAATCATTGAATAGATCCATTCTTTTATCCCAATCTTTGAATTATTTACATGATTACATCCCATTTACAATATTCAAGATTTAGTTTTAATACATGTATACGATCCGGTGATTTGATCTTGGTCGAAAAAAACAATCTTTTAAGACTTTTCTGAAGTATGTCGCGACGATAAAGACTATTGAGGATTCATGTCGACGTCTACGGTTTCAAAATGTCTTATAATGTATGTGTAGTAGTGCATGCATCGAATTCCAATTATACCTACACGTACGTATTTAAAAGTTTTGTGCTATTTAAATTTGTATACCTAGGTTAGGTATTATTATACGATCTTAACATTTCTAAGCCCTAAGGTATTTTGAACGTCGGACCAGAAATATATATGAAATCGGATGTCTTAATTAGAAGTTCTCTAAATATTTATTATGCTATTTTCTTATGTTTTTTATGGCAAACTATTTATAATTTTCTTTCTTATCTATTTGTTCGTAATCTACAATCTCAAATCAACCAATAGGAACAGTTTCGAGTTGCACTTGGACCACAATATCTCACACTAAATGAAAACTTGAACCACATCAAAATCTTTTCGGAGCTTTGGACCAGTTCCGTCTGCCCAATTTAACCTTTCATTACCCTTATCTTGATAGGGTACTATAAAGCAATAATAATGACAGATGCATGAAACTAGTTCAAGTGGAAAAAGCATCGTGCACTGATATATCTTCATCAATTGCAAGAACATGTCTCAATAAACCCAAAACCATTCAAACATTTTTTTCTGAATCATATCTATCAGCATGGGACACTGTGGCTCTTTGTGCCTTTGGATTCAACGCATCCTTCTTGATCTTTTTGTAACTGCATCTCATTAGTAGCAATCACCACCTATTCGAAATAATATCGATATATATTTATGTATAAGATGTCGATTTAAAAGTATTTAGTATAAATCGATTAATGTTCTCTACAATAAGATTAACGGGTTATATTTATATATAGTCGGACGCTTGCCAAAACCCATATTATATATCCGTTACTAAATCCAAAGAGAGTGGATATGTTTCACCATAAGCTTAACATTAATTTTCTAGTCTTGGTTTCCACAATGATTAATGCATAATTAGATTAAGTGTATATGAAGCTTCATGGAAACCCGTACGAGAGAGGACGGTCACTAGATTGTACAATCAAGAACGTAATATATTTATTTATCCATTAATCTAAACCGTATACGTTCTATGGCTGATTAGTTTTATGAAATCGAGAATCTAATCTTGTAAGAAAAACTGTAGGCTTGTTGTCAGAACAAACATGGACCCATGTTCTCTATGTCCCTAAGATGTGTACCAATCTCAATTCACTTCTTTTGTTGCACTATTCAAAAAAACTTTTATTTTATATTTTTAATCTCATTGAGATCTCCATTGCCCCTGCTGCACTAGACATTACAGCTCATTTTTTCCTTCTAATTCAATTAATCTCTCCTTTTCTACTAATTAGTTTAAACTAATCATATTTGGCTAATTAGCGTTGAAACTATCTATCATATCAACATGTAAATAGTTTTTGTGTGTATGCATGTATGCATGTTCCGACATCTATATTAATGACTAACTTTTAAGCATTGATTTTCTTAAAGAGTTTTCATTTTGTATCTATGATTGTATTACACAATATATATTTACCATTGTTTAGCATGTAAACATGTGGTTAAAAATTACCTTTAACTTTCATTGCCATACACTAAATGCAAAAAAAAAAAAAAAAAATGAATCATTAGAACCATTACATATTTACATGTTATTGCCCTTTCCTACTCGTATATTTTGCCAATATAAATATTTTATAGCATTTCTGATTAAGAATTGTGATGCACATTTCAAAATTAATTATTAAATGCCACTATGAAGAACCCTTGAACATAGTCTAATTCAATTTTAAGATCATAAGGAACATTAACAGTGACAATAGCTAAGGTCTCTCGACAATGAGACAATCCACTTTTTAAATACAAGATATATACCGTAATGTATACATATGTAGGATACTATTACAACTTGACCAAATTTATTCAATTTCTCCTCCTCTTTATATCAATAAGAAACTATTCATGATACTGGACCAGCCTGTGTGAATCTTGTCCCATCCACAAATCTCCCATTATATAAATAAAGAACCTTCACCCCTAAAACCAAAATCAACATTAACAACTTCATAACTTCCTAAGCAAGAGATTGAGAGAAAATCGATTTTCTTTCTAAGACTCTCAAATTATCTAAAAAGAAAAATGGCTTTTTGGTCTGCTGAGAATGCTACAAAAGCCTATCTTAGTACATTGAAAACGGTAAGAGTTTTTTATTCTTAATTAAAACCAAAAAATTTACCGGTTTTGTTTCAAACTACTATAAAAGATTAGTTAATATTGTTTGCCTAGTTTATTTCTTGAATTAATGTCACATTTTAACATATCTCTCTGTATGCATTTTCAGGATCAAAGGACAAAAGAACCAAACGTGGCCGAATTCATATCAGCCCTAGCGGCCGGCAATAGCGCCAGAAAAATTGCTGTGGCTTGCGCCGGAGCAGCAAACGCGGACATACTCGTTGCCCTAATCTCAGCAGCCAACCAAACTCGCGGTCAAGTTGTATGCGTTTTACGCGGCATTGAAGAACTAATCATATCCAAGAAAATGTTGGAACCATCAGAGATTCATCAGATACAATTCGTTGTCGGAGAATCTAACGACGACATTCTAATCAATGATCATTTCGGAGAAGCAGATTTCGTTCTCGTGGATTGTAACCTCGAGAACCACCAAGAGATCGTTAGAAAGATCCTTAATCATCACGCAGAAAACGCTAGAACCGGTGGTGGAAGCGGTATGGCGGTTGTGGTGGGTTATAACGCGTTTTCGAGAGGGTCGTGGAGGTTTAGCGATGGTAGGAAAACGCAGTTTTTGCCTATAGGAGAAGGGTTGCTTGTGACGAGGGTCAACGACAATCAGAAGATGACGTTGAAAAATCACCATCGTGAGCAAGTGAGGAAGAGTCGTTGGGTGGTGAAGGTTGATAAGTGCACTGGAGAGGAACATGTGTTTAGGGTTAGGGTTCCAAGAGGAGAAGCCATTATTGAGGCTTAAGTTTAAATCTCTTATATTATCGGGTACTTTAGAGCAAAGATCACCTCTGTGATGGTTCAGACGAGTGAAAGTAGTAAGAATTAAGATTAATTAGTTATTTGTATTAGTAATTATAAGAGTTTTGATTGGTATTGGAGTGTTTTGTGTGGTGAGAGAAGAGTGAAGAAAGTCTATATGTTTTTCCAAGTAAATGACTTTTTTTTTTGTAAGTGTAAATATGAAAAGATGTGTTTTGTTTTAAATTTCGTTCTGATTTTGGATATTTTTTTTTTTTGTGTGTCTTTTCTTGAGCATATGTGCACGCATTGTTGTTCTTCAGATTTTGGATGTTTAGCAAATAAAATATATAAAAATGCACATGCATGAGAAGATGGCATCTGAAACTAATATATAATGAAACATTAAAGTAATCGTATGTATTTAGCTGTCTTATACAGATTCTCAAAATAGATGTAGACGTATAATATTGAGTTGTTGAGCTAATTTTTTGTTGACCCTATTAATTAAAAACCGACTAAGGGAAAAAAAAATTAATTAAAAACCGACAAGCACGTCACACAGATATATTATTATTTACTTCAAGACATGTATTCGTTTGCCTTAAAAAAATCTTTTTATTTGTTATCACCGTTACGTTTAATATAAAACCAAAAAGAATATAGTGAAATCTGTAAAGACGAAATATATATAAAGGTAATTCTTATTAATGAAGATGACCTATATATAATTCGTATGTGATTTTGTTTTTTCGCTTAATCATTGGTTTGAGTGTCTGATTTTGTTTTACCTTTGAGCATATAGATTTGATTCAATGAAAAATGGAACGACCAAAAGTCGACACTCAAAACATTGAATCAAATCTATATGCTCAAAGGTAAAACAAAATCTTCCACAGTACTATATATATATAATCTTCTACAGTACTTATATATAGATATAGGATCCAAATTCTCATCGACCTAAACTTATAAGTCATGAATTCAACTAGGCTTGTACACATAGCTGGGAGGCACCAAACTAACTACTTCTTCGAAGTAGACAAATCGTAATGAATGTATTTTATTTATATCAACCGACATACATGTACGTTAAGAATTATGTTATACAATAAAAATAGATAACAATTTGAATAGAAGAGTCGTTGTTGACAATGATCCGTTCATTAATACATGCATTGTCACAATTTTCATATGTCCCATAACCTTCCCCTATCCCCATGACCACCCCATCTCTTCCTTATCCATCATCTCCCACACCTCATCACTCTCAAAGACCACGACATTTTTCACTCATATATATACATAACAAAATTTATTCGAAACAACATTAATCAACAACCAAACATAACTTCAATGAAAAAAAAAACATGCAGTCAAAAAACAAATATGCAAAATAAACCTTTATAACCAAAAAAAAATCAAGGGAAATGGACCATCAGAGAGATTTATCTCAATAGCATAATGGGCTTATGGTTTATATGGGCTTATTTACCGAAGCCCATTATATCCAAAGCCTTGTAATGTTCTTCATCAGTAAACAGAACAAACGATTCTCTGAGAAAACCCTAAGAAAAACCCTGCCAGAGAAAATCTCAGTTTTGAACGAACAATTGTTTCTTTGTGATCGGAAAACATGGTGGTTGGTCTAAGAGATTTCACACTCAGAACCGGAGATGGCTCCGGAAAACCGGTACTAGACGAAGCTAACGGCGAGGAACTTATGCACGTTCAGACTTCCGTCGCCGTCGCTCTCGGAAACCTTCCCGTTGAGTCTCCCGGAACTCTCTACATCACTTCCAGGTACCAAAATTCACTCAAAAGCTACTCCTTCTCGATTGGGATAAATGTCATAGCTTAATTTGGTGTTTGATTTCAGGAAATTAATTTGGCTGAGCGATGTAGACATGGCTAAAGGTTATGCAGTTGATTTCTTATCGATATCACTTCACGCTGTTTCTAGAGATCCTGAGGCTTATTCATCTCCTTGTATCTATACTCAGGTATTGAACTCTTGAAATTTTCTAGGTTTTGTTAGACTTACTATCTAAAAATGGGAATTATGTTGGTCTTGTTGATTTTGATTAGTTCTTAGACACACACGAACTTATGTGTTTGATGATTTTTTCAATTGCTTGTGAGAGGTGTGATTAAGTCTTCTCTGTTCTCATTTTGCTAAGTTTGTGGTTTCTATTTTGAAGATTGAGATTGAAGAAGATGAGGATGATGAGTCTGATACTGAATCATCTACTGAAGTTTTGGACTTATCAAAGATCAGAGAGATGAGGCTTGTTCCTTCTGACCCTTCCCAGTGTGAGTTTTTATTTAGCAATCTTATTTGAATCTTTTGTTTCACTGTATAAGAGTCTCAGATATCCTTTTGTCTTGTCTTATGAAAAAGTGGAGACGCTATTTGATGTATTCTGCGAGTGTGCTGAGCTGAATCCTGAACCAGTTGAAGGTAAACATATTATCACAAGTTTACTACAATTACTAATTGCAATTTTTGGTTCCCTAGCCATTTACATTTTTGGTGTCATTGCATATTTCAGAAGAAGAAGAAGACCGTGGGCATAATTGGGTGTTTAGTGCTGATCAGATGGATGTTCGTGGAGGAGGTAGTGTTTTCATACGACGAGACCGAATTCAAGAGTGGGTTAATGTATTCATTTTGAATGTTGTGAAAGAAATGTGATGGTTTTCTGTGTTTTGTTGACCAGCAGATGAAGATGCAGAATGGCAAATATCTCAGAGTCCGACAAGTGTAATTGGTCATTCCAATGGAGGTGAAGCTCTTGCTCAGCCTATGCTTGAGGTAATATTAACATCTGCTTTCGATAATTTTTTTTGGTCTAAAAACGCTGGTTTCATCGACTTTTGTATCCTCCTCTGCAGCTCCAAATCAATGATCAGAGGTTTGAGGATGCTGAAGAGATGGTTCATGAAAGTGAGACCAAAGATCACTAGACTGTTCACAATTGTACTCAGAAAACCTTGTTGTGTCTTATTTTAACGATCAAAGAGTTGTATTATGCTAAACTATAAAATTATTATGTTATTAATACTTTGCTTTTCAAATTATGTCTATTCTATAGTTTTAGTTTTAATCTTTAACGTAATACATCTCTCAAATTGAAGTCAGGAGAAGTAATACCGATTGCAAGTTGGCTACTTCATGAAGTTATATCATCAAGTAGGTCGAAGGGTCTTAATTGAGAATAGAGACCGCCATTATAATATAAATCTTCAAAATCTATTAAATTAAGAAAACACAAGAACTTGAATTTCACTACAACAAAACATTTGTTTATCCAACTCAAAAGGAGTGTAGTTACGAACGGAGGAAAAGAAGATTGTTTCTTAAAGAGACTTTGAAAAGCCACACAAGTAGGGGTTGATCTACGAGTCGGCAATGGTAACCTCAACTTCAACACCAGGTTCAATGGTGATGGAAGTGATCTGCTTGACCACATCAGGAGAACTGAAGAGATCAATCACTCGCTTGTGTACCCGAAGTTCAAATCTGTCCCATGTGTTGGTTCCTGTTACAACACCAACAGTTGAAAGAGTCTCAGCCAATGTGAAGACACATGCATAGACAGAGTATAAAACAGATGAGATAATCATAATCATACCTTCACCACAAGGGGCTTTTCGGGTAGTGATCTTAAGAACCTTGGTGGGCATTCTCACTGGTCCCTTGACTCTGAGTCTCTTGTCCTTGGCTCCACGGACCAAATCAGTGCACACTACATATCATTTTCAGGAACAGAACAAAAACAATGATTCAGCATTTGACCCAAATCATCAAATCAAAATCTCTACTTTGAATCCATTAAGTAACAACCTAAAATGAAAATGGTTCAGAAACAATACATTGGAACATCTCTCAGATAGTGAAATACACTAAACTCTCAAATTTCTCTAAGTGTAACCTAAAACTAGTGAAACACTAAATTCTCTAGGACTGAGAGAGCTGTTCAAAAAGATTAGGAAAAGAACAAACCTTTCTCGAGGTTCTTGACATTCTTGGAAGAGAGAGTAATCCTGATCTTGTGAATCTGCTCGAGTGGCTCTTCCAAACCCGCCTTTCCTGGTTTCATTGGTTGATACGACGTCATATTTTTCAGCTTCTTCTGTAAAATCACAAACGCATCAACCAATCCATCACATAAACTTAAAAAATTACCAAAATTTCAGATGAACATGAAAAATGAACAACTTGGGTAAGTGAAGAGAACCTGAGAGAGACGAACGAAGCTTGACGGCGGATTGCTTTTTGCTGCAAGGAAGGAAGGAATCGAATGTTTTAACCTAAGAGACGACGTTTTATGTAATATGAAAACCCTAATTTATATGGACTTGTTGGGCCCAATATATAGCCCAATAACTACAGCGATATTTGCTCTGTTTTTGACTTCTGATTTTGGATTCTTTCTGTTCATTTAGTTGCTATTTGTGGATTTTTTAGGAGATTATGGTGGTGATATCAGATGTTTTGATAGACAAAAAATAAAATGTTGTCCTGTCGATGCAGAATGCTAATTTTAATTTAAGCAAGACAAAAACATTCACTGCAGAGATTAAGATGATCAAATACTTAAACTCAGGCTATCAACTTCGTTAACCTTCACTCTTTCCATAAGCAAATTGTAATTCCTTTTCCTTATCCACAAGGCATCTTTCAAATTCGAATTATCAGCTATCGCAATCCCGACAGAGTCTGAGGTTGTCGTTGCTTGCTTATCTTGTGAATTAGTGGAAGATTCTATCTGGTGTGAGAAAGTTAAGCCTTTCATCCTAACGAGGATCATTTTCTTGTTAGCGATCAGCCTTTCATCCTATTATCCTAACGAGGATCATCTTCTTGTTGTACCATAAGTTCGAACGATTATTAATGTTTTGGGAAAATCGAATTTTGTAGGCAAAAACAGGAAAGACAAATTTTTATACACCGAAACAAGTTAGCAACAAGATCATGGTTGTATGATCAAACTGACATAAAAACCTAAACCCTTTTTATTCTCATCCGAGGAATGAATAAAGAGACAATGGTGATGAACTGCATACACATTTTCTTTATAAGTAGTGTCATATACTTTAGGTGTACAAAAGTCTAGCTTTTTTTATAAGTTTACAATAATTATGCGAAAACTCAATTTAAAACTCAAATGTATTCACTGTTGAATTATTCAATTTTATGTGACATACAAATAAAACCTGATATTTTGGCATCAATTTCTTTAAAATGGCATTCACATGTGAAAATCTTTTTCTATCAAGTCTTTAGGTATCAAAGAGGATCTTAAATTGAGAGTAGAGAACGTAATTATGGTCTCATCTTGATAGATAGATGTAAATAAAATCTCATCAACTAAGAAAACACAAGAACTATGGTTGTGCTACAAGAAAACATTGGTTTGTCAAACAAAGGAAAGAAAATTGGTTGGTTCTTGCAGAGAATTCCAAGGAAGGAAACAAAAAGTTGAGATCTAAGAATCGGCGATGGTGACCTCGACCTCGACACCAGGTTCAATGGTGATGGATGTGATTTGCTTGACCACATCAGGAGAGCTGAAGAGATCAATCACTCGCTTGTGTACCCTAAGCTCGAATCTGTCCCATGTATTAGTTCCTGTTACAAAACAATAGAGTCTCAGGCAATGTGAAGAATCCAAACATCAGAGCAATCACACGCAGGGAATAAGACCAAAATCAGTAGTCGTTTAACTCTTGTCTCCAGTAGAGTCACACTAATGAAAGTTGATAAAAAGAGTCTTTTGTTCCAGAAGTTGAAGTAATTAAAGGAATGGTTCCAAAACCATAAATCCAAAACCTAAGCTATAGTGATTCTCAAGGCAAAATAAAAGATGAGATAACCAAAATTATACCTTCACCACAAGGAGCTTTTCGGGTGGTGATCTTAAGAACCTTGGTGGGCATTCTCACTGGACCCTTGACTCTAAGTCTCTTGTCCTTGGCTCCACGAACCAAGTCAGTGCACACTACATATCATTTGCAGCAAATGAACAAAAACAATGATTCAGCATCATTTGAATCAAATCATCAAATCAAAATCTACCCTTTGAATCCACTAAGTAACAACCTAAATGCAAATGGTTCAGAAACAATAATTTGGAAGATTGTGAAACACGAAAGCCTCAAAATTCTCTAGTGGTAACCTAAAACTAGTGAAACACGAAATTCTCTAAGACTTAGAGAGTTGTTCAAAAAGATTAGGAAAAGAAGTAAAACCTTTCTCGAGGTTCTTGACATTCTTGGAGGATAGAGTAATCCTGATCTTATGAATCTGCTCGAGTGGCTCTTCCAAACCAGCCTTTCCTGGTTTCATTGGTTGTTGATACGTCGTCATATTTTTCAGCTTCTTCTGAAAATTCACAAACACGCCAACCGATTACATAAACATAAGATTACCAAAACTTCACGTAAACATGAAAAATGAATAATTTGGGTAAGTGAAGAGAACCTGAGAGAGACGAACGAAGCTCCTCTTCGACGGCGGCGGATGGCTTTAATGGATCAGAGTTTTCGTTTTGACCTAAAATATAAAAGAGAGACGTCGAAGAAAAAAAACCTAAAATACTATGGGCTTTTTTAGCCCAATAACTTAAGGGAATAAAGAGAATCCTCAATAATTGCCCAATATGACATGAGCTTCTGTATTTTTTTGGCCCAATTAATTGGACAAGTATCCATCCTTCATAAAAAAAAAAAAAAGTTATTTTTTTATAAAGCATGAATGTTTTTTATTTAATTCTTTGAAAATCTATAAACAATAAACGTGTTATTATTAAAAACAAATTTTATTTTTGTAGGATTTTCATAAAAAAATATCTTGGTACCGTGTTATTTAGTCAACCCATAGAAAACATCATGAACGGCTAATTTTAAATCAAACAAAAAAGATTGGGTTCTTTCTTTGTTGTTTCTAGAAAATGGGGAAGACATGCATTTGTTGGAAGCACGTAGTTCTATATGGACACTCTCCACATGAATATTCTTTAAGAACTATACAAATCAATTCATAAAATATCACCTTTAGTCAAGTGGTTAAGTCCATTTGACTCCGCCTTTCCCACCGGAGTTCGACTCCACTAAATCGCGTTACCCCGCGTAGTAGGGATTGGCTATGGATCGGGCTTTGTCGATCCAAAGATGTCAAAAAAAAAAAATAAAAAAAAATATCATTATTCGTTAATTATATATCTCTTGTAAGAAAAATTAACTAAACAACAAAATAAGTCACAAATTATGTAACTTGACCACTATGGAAATAAGAATACAAATACAACTCTCTCATATATTGAAAAGAAAAAAAAAAATCTCACAAGGTAAAATCTCTGTCTGACTTGTCATTTTACTAAATAAACTAACAATGATAATTAATTAATTATTTTCAGCAAATATTTTTTGATCTGCAAGAAAAAAAAAATGGCGGATGAGCGAATATTTGCATCAAGTAGTAAAAACTAAGTCCCCCACTTCCCGCGAAAACCTCAGTCTCTCTCTCGCAACCGCTTCTCTGTATCGTTATGTTTTGATAAAATCAGAAAACAAACAAACAAAACAAATAAAAAAAAGAGTGTAAATATGAAAATTCAATTAATTCTCTACAAATTCTTCTATTAATAACAAATGTCTACGTCGGAACCGTCGCCTGAGAATGATCGGGATCCGCAAAAGACCACCGCCTCTACGCCGACTTCCACCAACGCGAAACTCCTGAAGAAGATCCCTGCGATTCCTTTCCGCCATTCGGAGAAAGATGAACAAGCGAAGACGTTGGACGAGGTTACGCCGGAATTAGCTGCGGAAGGTTCGACGAGTCACGATTCGCCGGAAATTCTTGCTCCTTCTTCCTTAGGTTTGAATCATATCAGAACGAAATCGTCTCCTGCGCCGTCTCCTTTGAGATTTTCATCGGCTACACCGTTGATTTCTCCGGGTCAAGATGACAAAGACGTCGCCAAGGAGAAACCTAGGCTTGGGGTTGTTGATGCTCGTGCTGATGCTCGCGCCAGATGGCCCATTCCTCCACATCAACCCGATCAAGGTATATCTTTCTCGTTGATTCGATTTAGGATTTATGAAATTCGAAATTCAACTTAGCTGATGATTCAGAGGATCCTAATTAATGATCATGAGTTTTTTTTTTGTTGTTTTGTCTCTTAGGGAAAAAAGTTCAGTGGAGCCAATCAAAATCTCAACGAGTGCCTGCAAATTCCAATCCAGGGTTAGAGGTGAATAATGTCTTCTTCTATGTATGGTTTTCAATTTCCTGGAAAATTCATATTGCTGATTCGTTTTTCTTCTTATGAATGCAGAGTACTCATGTAGGTCTTGCTAAGGAAACACAATCTCCACGTTTTCAGGCGATATTGCGTGTCACAAGTGGAAGGAAGAAGAAAGCTCATGACATCAAGAGCTTTTCTCATGAACTTAATTCTAAAGGTGTGCGGCCTTTTCCCGTGTGGAGATCTCGCGCAGTTGGTCACATGGAGGTTAGTGTTGATGATTCTTTTTCAGTTCTCATGAGTTTGAGGGTTCTTTCTTTTCATTTCGTTGTGAAATGGTTTGTTTAGGAGATAATGGCGGCGATCAGAACGAAGTTTGATAAACAAAAGGAAGATGTTGATGCTGATTTAGGCGTTTTTGCTGGCTATTTAGTGACAACTCTAGAGAGCACACCAGAATCTAACAAAGAATTAAGAATGGGTCTAGAGGATCTGTTAGTTGAGGCTCGACAATGTGCAACCATGCCAGCTAGCGAGTTCTGGTTAAAATGTGAAGGTATTGTTCAGAAGCTTGATGATAGACGACAGGAGCTACCGATGGGAGGGCTGAAACAGGCTCATAATCGTCTTCTTTTCATCCTTACTCGTTGCAATAGGCTTGTGCAGTTTCGTAAAGAGAGTGGTTATGTTGAAGAACACATTCTGGGAATGCACCAGCTAAGTGATCTCGGTGTTTATCCAGAACAGATGGTGGAAATCTCGCGACAACAGGACCTTCTTCGAGAGAAGGAAATCCAAAAGATAAATGAAAAGCAAAATCTAGCTGGTAAACAAGATGATCAGAACTCGAACAGCGGAGCTGATGGAGCGGAAGTAAATACTGCTAGAAGTACTGATTCAGCTTCGAGCAATTTTCGGATGTCATCTTGGAAGAAGCTTCCATCTGCTGCCGAGAAAAACCGTAGTGTTAATAACACTCCCAAGGCTAAGGGGGAGAGCAAACTCCAACCAAAAGTTTATGGTGATGAATACACTGAAAACTTGCATAGCCCGTCAGGCCAACCTGCATCTGCCGACAAAAGTGCTTTGTGGGGTTTCTGGGCGGACCATCAATGTGTGACATACGATAACTCCATGATTTGCCGTATCTGTGAAGTTGAAATACCAGTTGTACATGTAGAAGAGCACTCCCGAATATGCACAATCGCTGATAGATGTGATTTGAAGGGAATTAATGTAAACTTAAGACTTGAAAGAGTAGCTGAAAGTCTTGAGAAAATTCTGGAGTCATGGACGCCAAAGAGCAGCGTAACTCCAAGAGCAGTTGCTGATAGTGCAAGATTATCAAATTCCAGTAGACAAGAAGATCTGGATGAAATCTCTCAGAGATGTTCAGATGACATGCTTGATTGCGTTCCTCGTTCAGAGAAAACATTTTCTTTGGATGAACTGAATATCTTGAATGAAATGTCTATGGCCAATGGAACAAAGGACTCGTCAGCCGGAAGCTTGACACCACCATCACCAGCAACTCCAAGGAATAGCCAAGTAGATTTACTTCTAAGTGGTCGAAAAACAATATCAGAGCTTGAGAATTATCAGCAGGTAAATGTTTAAATTCTATTAATTCATGCTGAAACTCTCAATTACTTCTTTCTTTATTTCAGCTGAGTATTCAACTCCTCCTTTACTTTCATCTTGTGCTTTGAGTTGACAGATAAACAAGTTGCTTGAGATTGCTCGTTCTGTGGCAAATGTGAATGTATGTGGATACAGTTCGTTGGACTTCATGATTGAGCAGTTGGATGAGCTCAAATACGTCATTCAGGATAGGAAAGCTGATGCCCTTGTGGTAGAAACGTTTGGAAGACGTATAGAGAAGCTACTGCAGTAATCATTTTTACTTATCCTGCGTTTTGCTAGTCACTACTGTTTAATTGCAAAATCCATTCAAGCTGATTTAGTGTTTCTCAAATCCAGGGAGAAGTACATTGAACTTTGTGGACAGATAGATGATGAAAAAGTAGACTCATCCAACGCCATGGTGGATGAAGAAAGCTCAGCAGATGATGATACAGTGCGAAGCTTACGGGCAAGCCCACTTAATCCACGCGCTAAAGATCGAACATCAATAGAAGATTTTGAAATTATAAAACCAATTAGCCGTGGTGCATTTGGAAGAGTATTTCTTGCAAAAAAGAGAGCTACCGGTGATTTGTTCGCCATAAAGGTTGGTATTACTAACATAATATTATTTCAGTTTGGCTCTAGGAACTTATTCTTAGCATAACTCAATGTTGTCTAAACCATTGTACAGGTTTTAAAGAAGGCTGATATGATCCGTAAGAATGCTGTTGAAAGTATTTTAGCTGAGCGTAACATCCTTATATCAGTTCGTAACCCATTCGTGGTATGTAATGCCGGCAATTCATAAGATCCTTTATGAATACATTTGTGAAAAGCTGTGGTGCTTCTCTAACGCTTCCTTTAGCTGTTCAGGTTCGGTTTTTCTATTCTTTCACATGTCGGGAAAATCTTTATTTGGTCATGGAGTACTTGAATGGTGGAGATCTCTTCTCCTTGTTGAGAAACCTTGGTTGCTTGGACGAAGACATGGCCCGTATTTATATTGCTGAAGTTGTAAGGCCGTTCACCTCAAGATTTGCTCAGCTTTCTTTGTCCGGATTTAAACTTAACTGTCCACATGATAAAATTTGAATTTAATCAAATGTTTTTTCAGGTGCTTGCTCTGGAGTATCTGCATTCTGTAAATATCATTCACAGAGACTTAAAGCCAGACAATTTGTTGATCAATCAGGATGGTCACATCAAGGTAAATATTCCGTGATGCATCATTTATTGATAGCGAGACCGCTCTTCTCACAAAATCTAACCCTTGTAATTACAGTTGACAGATTTCGGGCTTTCCAAGGTTGGTCTTATCAACAGCACAGATGACTTATCAGGTGAATCATCATTGGGAAATAGTGGATTTTTCGCAGAAGATGGAACAAACGCTCAACATTCACAAGGCAGAGATAGTCGTAAAAAACATGCAGTTGTTGGAACTCCTGATTATCTTGCACCTGAAATACTTCTTGGAATGGGTCATGGTTAGTATTTCACAAGGTGCCTTTTTTCCGTGCCATTTATGTATCTGTAAATGGACTAATTAACACACTACTCATTACAGGTAAAACCGCTGATTGGTGGTCAGTCGGTGTTATTCTCTTTGAGCTTCTCGTGGGTATACCTCCTTTCAATGCAGAAACCCCACAGGTATATTTTCAAGCTGAAATATATCAAAAGTAGACATCATTTTAATGCCATAACATTTTCTTTCATTCATGGGTTTGCAGCAAATTTTTGAAAATATAATCAACAGAGATATACCATGGCCTAATGTGCCAGAGGAGATATCTTATGAAGCACATGATCTGATCAACAAGTAAGACCACACACTTTCTGCAAATGAATCTCAGAAACTTCATCTCTTTCCCACGTTTTCTGTACTTTCCCCATATTACATGCTTTTAATCGATCAAAATGAAACAAGAACCTGTTGATTGTGGTAACATTATCTATTTATGTCCTTGTTTCAGGCTTTTGACTGAAAATCCTGTCCAGAGACTAGGGGCAACAGGTGCTGGAGAGGTAAAGCTTTATTAATTTAATCCTACTAGTTAACTTTATAAAATCCTCGGTCTCTGAAAAATTCCTTCCTTACAGGTGAAACAACATCATTTTTTCAAAGATATTAACTGGGACACGCTTGCACGGCAAAAGGTTCTTCCATACTCTGAACACAAATTAAGTTCCATTAGAAAACTAATCTCTTACTAACTTCAACTTTATCTGTTGTTACAGGCTATGTTTGTACCATCAGCTGAACCACAAGACACTAGTTACTTCATGAGCCGATATATATGGAACCCGGAAGACGAAAATGTTCATGGAGGCAGCGATTTTGATGACCTTACAGACACATGCAGCAGCAGCTCCTTCAATACACAGGACGAAGATGTATGACTTTTATTATTTTATACTCTTTTTCTTTACTTCCATTTCTCTTGCACAAATTTAGTGTTATCATCTGAAAACTCACATAATTAACAAGTCTGTATGCTGTAAAACAGGGTGATGAGTGTAGTAGCTTAGCAGAATTTGGAAATGGACCAAATCTTGCTGTGAAGTATTCCTTCAGCAATTTTTCGTTCAAGGTCAGTCATAGTTAATCCCCAACATTTGTTTGTAGTGAAATATGTATTCCTTAGAAATGCTTAATCCTTTGACAATGGTTTTATGTTATCAGAACCTCTCACAACTGGCTTCGATCAACTACGATCTTGTCCTAAAGAACGCGAAGGAATCAGTAGAAGCTTCGAACCAATCAGCCCCTCGACCCGAAACATGATGACTAAGATGTATGGATCATTTATCTAACTTCAAGAGCTGATTGGTTCTGTTCAGCCATAAAAGAAAGTAATAATAACTTGGAAACATAGCATAGCTAGGAAGCAATAGAGCTACAGAGATTTGACTATTATATTTTATGTAATTACATGATACACATATTGAATTACAAGATTTTAATATACATTATGTGTAATTGTGTATCATGTACTCTGTTTTATTATATTTCCAAACTTAAGCTTTATAATATAACTGTTACTATCAACTATGAACTATCAAGGACACTAAAAGTGCAAAGCACGTTTTATTATTGATTAGAGAAACTTGGAAATTACTATGTTTTATTCGTTATATTGGTCCAACTACATGAATCTATGGTTATAGAATGAAGTCAATGAACCGTATGATTATCTACGGACTAACTAAGCATACTTGAATCTCTAATCATCGAAACATCCAAGTTCTAAATCTTCGTATCCCAAATCTCCATACTTCAACCACAAAGATGACGAAGAAGAACATGATGACGTAATGTCGCCGGACAATAGCATCATAAGCTCTCCGGCGGCGCCACCACCTCCCTCTCCGTCATTTTCCATTAAAAAGCTCCACGGCTGATCATCACCGTCTACGTCAGCTAACTGGTTTAGATTTCCTGATAACACCGCCGACGTGTCATTCTTCAAGACTACCGGTACCTCTGGCTCAGGCAGAGGCTTTAGATCGTTGACCAATACCTTTTTATCTTCGTTGACTTTTAGTTGGTCAAACCGACGATGTGTGTTTGGATCAATACCCATTCTTATAAGCTTCCTCTTTATATGAGTGTTCCAATAATTTTTGATATCGTTGTCTGTTCTTCCTGGTAACTCCACTGCAATCTTCGACCATCTATAACCAAATTATATATAAATTATAATGCATTAGAACTACAAATCATCAAATCTAACAAGTAACATAACTTTGGTTTTAAGTAGGACGTTCATGATTGTTATTTGTTAAAGTAGTGTTATAGCTAGTTTTTATACTCAATCATCTATAATGAAATTGAAAATATAAAAACCTATTGCCAAGGCGAGCATGAAGATCAATGACTAGTTGAATTTCCTCTTCACTAAAAAGACCTCTCTTGAGATCTGGCCGGAGATAATTAGTCCACCGGAGACGGCAACTTTTGCCACACCGCCTTAGCCCCGCCAGTTTTGGCACGTCTCTCCAGCACCATCCTCCTCCGCCGCCACCGCAGTTGCCACGTGTCCTTAAGAAATCAACTAGTTTCCCATCTTCTTCCACTGTCCACGGTCCCTTTCTTAATCCAACCTCATCACAACATGGTTTACGACCACCCATAATTTATATATGGTTTTAAAAAAGTTCCATCAAATTAAACTTTATTTGAAAATCGTGAAAGTAATTAGCTAGACTCAAGGGGTCGAGAAATGGAAAATGGAAAAAAGAAAGAAAAAAAACAACACAAAAGTGGTAACCAAGTTTATCTCAACTAACTAACTATATATACACACGTATGGAGTTTCTTGGCCCTTTTTTGGGATGCTTTAGATTAATAATTTATTATTTCCATTCAATTAATGTATTCACTGTCGAGGTAGAAAACTCGATCCGAAATTTTCTTGAAACCTTTGTGATGTTTTTGTGAATTGTCCTAAAACTATTGAATACAGTGTTAATTAGCTGTTGTGTGTATATTATAGTTGGATATATAAACCTTTTTCCTTTTTTCATTTCAAACACTTTATTGCGAAGTTATTAAATACTTTTGACGTACTGTATAGCGTAGAAATTTCATATAATTATGTATTTACCTTCATATTACGGCTAGCTTTACAATTCATGTTGGATTTATTCGTGATTTGATGATATGTCGTTTACATTTTATATGTATAAAGTTGTTCTGTACTCTTAGCAACGGCTAAAACAAAAAAAGAATGTATTTATCTTCTTGTTTCTCTAATTTCAAATCCTGTATTAACTTGGCTCTTTAAAATTCTTTATGTACGTCCACATGTTTTAAGGAAAAAAGATCACGCTGCTTGCGTTTTGATCATGACAAGAAAATGAGACTTCATATAATTAAAATCTTGAAATAGAGAAAAAGAACATGAGACTTCCCTTTGAAGTTTAACAAACTGTAGTAATGTTTTTTTTTTTTTTTTTTTTTTCCTAAAAAAAAAACTTTATTATTAAGCCTTACATAAGTCATGACAAAAAGTCACACAGTATTTTTATGCAAGATACGAAGCCTAAGGCCAATATTACATAAATATGATAACCGAATCTTCCGCTTCAGTTGACTTTTGGAAGAACTAGCCACGTCCACGGTTCCCGCGCCCACGATTCCCGCGTCCACGGTTACCTCTTCCCCGAGTATTAGAGGATGCTTGAACCTCCTTAGCTTTGATGGACGGCTTAACCGGTCTTTCGCGCAAAAGTCGTTGGCCAGAAGGAGTCATTAGTTCCATCAATCCAGAACCACTTTCTGAATCAACCGAAACCATTGAGTCTCCATCTGAGCTAAGAGAATCCCCATCAGAAAAAGAAGAGCCCAAACAGCTAAACTTGTTTTCAGCAAGGACGTGTCGTATCTCACGGTCACTAAGAATAGCATTATCCTTAGTACCTGTGTCAAATTGATCCGTTTTGCTTACATGACGCAAGGGCGTTCCGAAGCTGTTGACGGCGAGCACCACTCTTTAGTGAGAAACGCTTCTTAATGATGTCCCAAAGATCCTTGGCCACTTCACGGTTGGAGATTGATGAACGGAGACGTGGTTCGATCGTTGCTTTGATCCAACCAACAAGGAGATGGTTATTAGCCACCCAATCTTCAAGAGTTGTGGAGTTGTTGGCTGGTTTGGGAATAGTCCCATCGATGAAGCCGAATTTTTTGCGAGAGCTTAACGCCATACGGAGATTGATGGCCCAATCATCATAATTGGTGCCGTTGAGAAGAGGATGGGAGATCACAGCTCCAGGATTGTCACTAGAAGAGAGATCGTAAGCAGAGATTCTTTTGGTGGAAGGTTTTGATGATGGAGTTTGAGGAGGGGAAACCATGATGCGTGAGTATGCTTGCGAGGGCAAGCTTCAATGATGATTGCTTGATGAAGAAGAAAACCAAATCTCACGAGGGTGAGAGACGGCGAGAGTAAAAGAGAGGTAAAAAAAAAATTAGGGTTTATTGTTTTAGCTCTGCTACCATGTCAAATTGAATGGAAGAGAATTCTTGATGGTTATTAGGCTCTAAGGCCAAAGTATTTATACATGAGTTTGAGCTTATCTAATGAGGAAATATAGCAATTTTGGAATTATCAACTTAAGGAAAATAAACTTATTCTAATAACCTGCAATATCAGTAACTGATTCAACAGTGCACATCGCTTCAGTTACAGCTTCAGCTTCAGCATTTGTTTGGCAAGCTGCCACTCTATTGCAATTATCTTTGTCTTGGATTGGGCCAGCCTCAATTTCTAGGGCTGTATCGATTTGGAGTTCTGAATCTGCGGTAGGGACACCAATTGGGGGCTCGGTTTGTAGAGAGATTGGCGAGACCAAATATGTGGCGCTGGATAAACTTTCAGTTGCTGGATTGAGGACTTCTTCTGAGACTTTTTTGGTTACTCTTTCATGTGGCAAATGAGGTTTCATACAGCGAGAAGCCTTATGGCCTAACTGTCCACACTCACCACAAGTAGCTGGCACCCAAGCGTATTCAACATTGACCATAGATATGTTTCCTTTTTTATCAGCTGCTGCAATCCGAGGAGGGAAAGCTTTACTCAACTTCACTTCCACCAAAACCTTCGCCTCACCCATTAGTGAAGGATCAAGTCTAGGTTTGTAAGTAGCCATAGGAGCACCTAACCCTGATGCAATATGGCTAATTCCTGGAATCGAGTACAGCCGGTTTGGAATATTTTTAAACCCAGACTGGAATAGTCGATATCTCAGGGAGATCAAAAGTATCTGCAGTAGACCAAGGAGCTACAAACATAAGACAATCATCAACATGCCATAAGCCCCTTTGAAGAACCCATGCTCTAGTTGAGGCATCCGGAATATGGAAGAGAAATTTAGAATCATCAAGCTTGCGCATAAAAATTCTACACTTCCTACCCCAAATTCTATTGATAACAGCATGAATCAAGCCACCAGCAGGGGGGTTACACCTATAGAACTGGCCTAAAACATATTCCTTCTGATTCTCAAGACCTTGTAACAAAACATGACTTGGAATCGTTACCTTCGGAGTACCGTCTTCCATGTACTCCGGTGATGTTGCTCTGTACAGATTTCTAGCAGCGGGATCCATTTTTGCAGCCCATGGAAACCTCATATCATCTTCCTTAGAGGAATCATATTGAGACTGTGTAGGTCTAGAAATTGGAACTCCACTCTCAGCTTGTTGGGTTGCCGATACCGTGGTGAATTTAAGCTGCTTTTCCCAAGCTCCTCGTAGAGGAGGAGATACCAAACTATCCGAGACTCTAGGCTTGACGATACCAGCATCATCAACCGGAGGCAGGGAAGTAGCAGGACGATTTTTTGATTCAATGGCTGAGGAGTTCGACAGTGTGGTACCTACAACCACCGGAGTAATTGGAGGCACGACCGGATCTATTGGAGGCACGAGCTTGACAGTAGCCGCCAAATCCGTCGGGGATGAAGGTTTCAAGGTCTGCAAAGTATGAGAAATTATCGTAGCCGCCAAACAACTGTAGTAATGTTGTTTTCGAATTGATGAGAAATTATCTTCTACACGTAGTAGGACTTCACAAAATTTTGGAAATCATTAGCCTTAACCATTCTATATGTTTTGGGCAAACAATATTATTTGCAAAGATTTTCTAGTGTGGTTTATTTTATCAAACTAACTGAAGGTTAATTTATTTTCATTAAAAATGATTAATCGATTAATATAGGGGATGACACTTTATGTTTATAAAAATGAGAGTATTATATATATATATATATATATATATTAGATAAGCTTTAAAGACTAATCCATTGAGATCCAATCACTTTTGATAAATTAGTTGCCAATTTTAGTTAATAAAAATCACGATACTTTATTCTCTCAGTCAACTACATAATCATATAAAATTTGAGTCATTTTTAATATCATTTGAATTTGGCTGTCAAGAAAATATATATATATCTATGTGTGTGTGTAACGATCCGATCGGATCTGGTTACGTGATTGTAATTTACAAATATCATGGATATTTAAACTTAAGACTTGGAACGAAAGTGAGTGGAAGATGCTTGTTTTTTATATGAAACAAATAACCAAAATATCAAATCTATAAATATTTGAATCCCAACTCTTTCCTATCCACACTTAATTCTCTCAACCTCAAGAAAAACAGCAATGGCAAAACAATACCAAGCTCTCTTTCTACTCCTCTCCGTCTCTTACCTCCTCTTTTCGGAGCTCACGACCGCTTCAGTCAGCCCGACCGGAACTTCTACGAAAGCACTAAACTTCATTCAATCCTCTTGCAAATTCACAACGTACCAATCCCTGTGCGTTGAGACTCTCTCGGTCTACGCCAGTACGATCCAAACAAGCCCTCGACGTCTCGTGGATGCAGCTATTGCCGTTAGTCTGAACCAAGCGCTGTCTACGAAGCTCTTCCTCTCACACCTGACGAAGAACCAGTTCCGAACCCTTGCGGACTGCCAACCAACAACCGAATCGTACACTACAGATTGCGAGTGTTCTGTCCAACAACTCCAAGAGGTGGTGATTTGTAAAAGTTGGACCGAATGCTTGTTTCACGTTAACAATGCTGAAGTCTGTGCCATTTCGGCTGAGGAGTATAGCGTCGAGAATTCTTGCTCCAACCCATTCACGGGTCCGGTAAAGATGTCAGTCCGGGGCCGAATCTCGGATGCGATAAGAAAGTCACTCCATACCCAGTTTACTAAGTTGCACCATGAAATAAACAATGTCAAAATGTTGTTCAAAGCCTTTCCTAAGAATTAGAAATAATTGACTTCTTTTGTTGTATGGTATTCTGTATTCAGGTAGTATATCAGTCCATCAAAAACTCTTTTTTTTTTAATACCAGGAGGTTTTGGGCCAAAACTCTTATACTTAGAAATCAAACTCTTATTTATGTGTCAAAATCACTTGCTTCTGATACTATGTCATGAAATCTAGTTTGGTATAACGGCTTTTTATTCCATTATATGTCGTTTTGGCAAAGCCTTATCCCTTATACTTAGAAAATATACTAATTGCACAATAGTCTATATATCCTTCTCAATAGCATGCAAACAAATAATACACAAACGTCTCTAAGACCCGCTAAGTAGCCCAATACACACATTTGAGATTGACTATTTGAAAACTAGATGAAGGAATTTATCAGACTGGTCGTATACCAACGGTATTGAATGCCCCTTTTCGATGAAGACTAAAACTTGGTTGCCTCTTTCTTCTGCATATATATATAGAACGCAATTAGGATATTTATATGATAAATTCGTTTTTTTTTTTTTGGATGAATTAATTGAGATCTGATTACTTTTCATTTTTCGCATCTCCCAAAGCGAAACTATATTTTTTTTTTTTCTAACTCAGTCAACTTTATATTTATATATAATTTCGAGTCATTTTATATATTATTTTTGGTAGGATACATTTTTCTGCAATTGGCTGTAAACAAAATATATAGTTTATGCGTGTGTAACGATCCGATCGGATCTGGTTACGTGATTGTAATTTACAAATATCATGGATATAATAAACTTAGGATTTGGTGCGAAAGTGAGTGGAAGATACATGATTTTAATATGGAACAAATAACCAAAATATCAAACTAATCTTGGTGACTGGTATCAAGTAATAGTGCACTCCAAAAAGGTAGCCTGTACTATAAATATTTGAACCCCAACTCTTTCCTATTCACACTTAATTCTCTCAACCTCAAAAGAACGTAAAGCAATGGCAAAACAATACCAAGCTCTCTTTCTACTCCTCTCCGTCTCCTACCTCTTCTCCTCAGAGCTCACGACCGCCACAATCAGCCCGACTGGAACTTCCACAAAAGCACTAAACTTCATTCAATCCTCATGCAAATCCACAACGTACCAATCCCTATGCGTTGAAACTCTCTCGGTCTACGCCAATACGATCAAAACAAGCCCTCGACGCCTCTTGGATGCAGCTATTGCCGTGAGTCTGAACCAAGCGCTGTCCACGAAGCTCTTCATCTCACACCTGAGGAAGAGTCCGTTCCAAACCCTTCAGGACTGTGCACCATCGACCGATACGTTCAATACAGATTGCCAGTGTTCTATCGAAGAGCTCCAAGAGGTGGAGAATTGTAACGGTTGGACCGAATGCTTGTCTAAAATAAACAATGCTGAAGTGTGTGCCATTGCGGGTGAGAGTCATAGCGTTGAGAACACTTGCTCCAGCCCGTTCGCGGGTCCGGTAAAGATGTCAGTTCAGGGTCGGATCTCGGATGCGGTAAGAAAGTCACTCCAGACCCGATTCGCTAAGTTGCACCAAGAAATAAACAATGCCAAGCTGTTGTTCAAAGCCTTTCCGAATAATCATAAGTAATAAGACTTCTTTTGTTGTATGCTATCCATTTAGTATCAGTCCATCAGAAGAACAATGAATAAACCACTTTCGATTTTAAACATATTTATTAGTCCTTTTTCACTTATCTCGAATACCAAACTGGCCTTACACTTATGTAATCCCCGAGATTGTTAGAGATAAATTACCAAAAGATTCCTCCTTCGACTCATTATTGTACGACGACCTTGCCATATATTTGCTCAATAACCGGAACACAGACAAGAATTGCACATGCACTAGAAGACAAGAGACGAGAAAACAATAATTTTTTTTTCCCCTGGCTTTGCCGACTTATATTGGGCTGTAACAACAATTTGGGCCATATTACCCAATACACATATTAAGCCACGAAACATAGCCCAACAGTTTCGATTTCAACTTCTTGAATAAACGATTCTTATAACTAGGAGACACTATAGTTAGATCTGTTAGTATTGTTGTTGATGGGTCACAATTCGAGTTTAAACTGTTATAGTGTATGTTGCTGATCAAAAGAAGAGAACCAGTTCACAATAATTACTGTGTAATTTTTGGGGTTTGTTTAAATTTTTTGGGTTTTGGATTATTGCCTAAATTGTTACATCCAAAAATTTATGCAGTATCATCAAAATTCTTGCACTCTTGCTTATGTTTTAATACACCAGTTCTGTTCATGAAGATTGTACAAGTTCTTTGACATATATTACTTTGTAATTTTGTTTAGCGTTTTCTCAATACTGTATCTTTTCTGTCGTTATTTATCAAACCAACCTTTTTGAATCTTTTGTTAATAAATAAGACTTTTAGTCAATGAAAACTCTATTTGTATGGATTTCTATTGAAATGTTTTCCCACTCCTTTTTCCAACAAACCGATCCAGTCCACACTCTCCAATTTTTTTTTTTTTGTCATCTAAAATTTTATTATTGATCTTGTAATGGAACCAAAGTGAAATACAAAGCCCAAAAGAGGGAAACTAAAGCCGGCGGACAACATGAAAGTCCCCGGAGACAAAGCCGGCGGAAGACGAGATTTCCCCGGAAGCTAGGCCCTAACGAAGGGAAACTAAACATAGAAAAGCAAAAGATTTCAAACCACAAACGCAAGAGGTCGAAACCAAAAACTAAGAAAAAAGCCGAAGGCATAAACCTTAAAAGAAACATTAGACCCAAGAAAACAAGTAACCCAAAACTTCTGAAGCACCCGCGATTGAGACTTACCAAGGATGCCCACGGCCAACCCGAAAATAACATCTACCTCCTCCTATCACGATGAGAGCTGATCTCTCGAAACCAAGAACCAAGACTTCATAACCCGGCAAGCGAGACAAAAGAGTTAAGGGAACCTCGAGCACACTTCCGAATACGACTGCTGACGACTGATGCGTCCACTAGCGTCTAACTAGAAACCTTCAAAAGGTGATCCTATCACATCAGATCAGGAAAGCAAAGACAAGGAGAAAGGCCCAACCACTCGAAAACCGAGCCAGCTAACAACCGCAACGAACAACATCAGGGAGAAGAATGAACTGAAAACTTAGAGGTCTATTGATCCAACCAAACAAAACTGAACTTCTTCTTAGCAAGGAAACAAACCCAAAGTGATTCATAGGTTGAGACGAGGAGACCGGAAACGGAAAGAAGAGCAAAGGCTGGACTGAACCTGACTAAACCTAGACACCACTCAACATAAACGGCTTGGAGACAGTAAGCACAAAAACGACAATGAATAAGGAACAGATCCAGAAAAACAATGGCATAATTCACAGAGCAGCACCGTAGATCCTACAGATCCGAAACCAAACGATTCGCTAAAACATATACCCAAACAACGCCGCTACAACCGTAACCGCAAGACCCCAGAATACACTCGCAACAAACTAGAAAAATCACCAAACGCAGGACGAAATCAATGCAAACAAACCAAAATAAACAAAGACAAAGAGAAATCTGACCACCACCAGCCAAAAACCGGAGAAGCTTAGCCACCACCCAAAAACCACCGGAGAGAAACCCCACAACGAAGAGACCTCCACTACCGAGACACAAAACCTCCGCCACCACTAACAGATCCGAGAACCATGCCTCTCCTTAAACATCACCTCGAAACCCGACGCTATCTCCTCCACAAGAACCGATTTCGTTCTCGAAAAATCATGATTTGAGAAGAGACCAAAATTGAAGGCCATTCCACAACAAGGTGTGGAAACCACCAATCCAAAACACCACTCACCCCTTCCACCGGCTAAAAGCTCCGCCGAAATCGAACCACAGCAACCAAGAACTCAACTTGCCTTTATGAACCTCTAAATACAAACCCAAAGAAACGAAAAAGAAAGCAAAAATGAAACTAAAACAGAGCAGAGGGAGGCCAGATCCGTTGCTATGGAAGCCAACGCGATCTAGCCTCGGATCTAAAATTTTTTTTTTCTCGGCGGCGGCTGTATGTCGAGAGGAACGCAGAGAGATATTTTCTTAGAGAGGTTCATCCACACTCTCCAATTTATCTGCACTATATTTTTGACAATACATCAAAATATATAAACACAGATAAAGAAAGAGGTGGTTCTTTAGTTCCACAATTAAAGACATAAACATTAGATTATTAAAAACTAAGGGGGTGTTATTCATTCATGGAGTTAAAGTCAATTCTTAAAAGTTTAGATTTGATTTCTGATATTGTTTTTAACCATCTGTTTGTGTGGAGTTCAAAATCTCTGCAGTATATCTAGGATTATGATTCTAATTATTTACTCATGAAATCCAAAGATGTTTCATTTCAAATGATTTGATATACAAAGATTTTACAAGTCTTTTAGTTTTGAATAACACTGAATTTTAATGAAGCATTTTAAATCTTAGTTGAATAACACCAAACTTTAAAATCTATTAGAGTTAGATTTAGAATCATTAGGTTAATAACATTGAATTAGTGATGGATTTCAATTCTATTAAAATCCATCATTGAATAACACCACCTAAAAACATTAAGGAGAGTGTATTCAATAAAGGATTTGAAATGATTTGTATTAAAAAAATAAATCCTATGTTATTCAAACATGAATTTTAAAAATCTTTTTAAAATCAAGTGTTATTGGATTAGTGATTTTAAAATCTACAATCAAATCCACTGTTATTGAAAACATTTTAAGTTGTGGATTTGAAATGACTTGAATGATTTTTGGTGGGATTTCAGAGAACATCTTAGTTAAAAATTCAAATATCCAAATCCCATGGTTTTAGGTGGAATTTGGGAGAGTTTTGATATCAAATTCCCTAATTCACCAAAATTCACCAAAATCATCTCAAAACTCATTAAAACTCAAATCACTCCAAATTCTTTCTTCAATACACCCCTAAAAGTGTAACATGGGCCTTGGGCGGAGAAGGTGGTACACGACGGTGCTTTTGAACCAGTGATTTATGGGATCACGTTCACATGTGACATGCCGAAAATTATTGTTGAGTTTATTTGTGGTATATTTTTTATTTTTTTCATTCTCGTTTTTTCGTTCTCTCTTCCCTCAATTATTTTTCTCAATTTGTATTGAACCAAACACGAGAGTAAAGGACCCACCCAAACAATGATTAGTTTTCATTCTTTAAGTATACTATAGTTTAGTGGCGCTAAAAAGAAACAAAACAAAAAACTGAAAAGATATTTTAGTATAATATAAAATCCACAGAGGCCAACAAGGCAACAACTCTGAAAGATCCGTACCGCAGTGGAATTGGAAACAACAGTCCGGTTATGTCAGTAGGCTATATAAGCCACAACTTTCCATTTCAATTTCTAAACTTTGTTGTTGTACTTCCTAGTTCGTATCTATACATTATCATCACTTTAATCTTTTACCATATAGTATCTGTATTCTGTAATAAGTAATAATTAATGTACTCAACTAATTAATATTTATGAATCATGCTCATATTTCAAATCTCACAGCTACTCAAACTCAACACACACAAACAAAATTTTATACATTTTTCTTTTATGTGTACATAAATAATAACAAAAATATTTTAAAATTTTATTTAAAATTACAATATATATATATATATAATAATTTTAAAGAAATATTCATCAACACTAGAGAAATAAGTAAATTTCAAATTAAGTATCATTATCAGAGATTACATTATTTGGTGATACTGGCAAAAGGAAAATATTACTTTGGTGGGATGCTTTGCTGGAATGACGTTGTTTATTACCGTCATAGCCTATGTTGCATGGAAACGGAAACGGAAACGTGGAAGCGAAACGTTTCGGAAACGGGAAACGATTTTTTTCTAAAAGTAAGGATTGGAAACGTTTTGAAAACGTATACACATATATAATATATGTATATATATAACATTAACATAAAACTATAAAAAATAGTTTAATTAAACAATACAAGTCCAAAACATCAAATATTAAATAGATTAACTAAAATTGTAAAAGAAAAAAGATTAAAAGGTTCAAATTCAAATATTTAATTTAGACCAACATTTTCATTTTCATTTTCATTAGTTTCATCGTAGATCATATAAAGATGCCTCCAAATCTAGTTTGTCGATAAAAAGATCTTAAAACTCAGAGTCTTCCAAAATTAGTTATATGTATTATAAATCTTAATCTTTTCAACTTTTATTTATTAAGTTTCCAAAGTCAATAAAAAGGATTTGTCGCGTTTCTATTTTAGAAACGTGAGTTTCCATCGTGTTTCCAAATATAAATTTTTAAAAAACGCGTTTCCGTGACGTTTTTCGTGTTTCTGAAGAGTTTCTGTTTTCGAAACGTTTTGGAAACGGGAAACGAACTTCGAAAAGAGTTTTCATGCAACATAAGTCATAGCAACCTAATTCTGTTAGCTAATATTTATTTGATCATTATAAACATTAATGTCATTAATGACCGTATCTGATGTCCAAATCTAAAAAAAAACATTATTTCCTTATATTATATAACGGCTTGATTGGTGCAATATCTTTCTCGCTCTTTCTGTTTCCTTCTTGATTCGAATAAAACGACAAATGTTTATCTCTACTCGTATCCGATTATGTTTAATATATAATATGCATTGATATTTCACGTTATGACCT